GTGGTTAGGTAATTATCTGATGGTAACCAAATTATATCAGTAAGTAGGTTGTCCAGTAAGTGATAATTGAGCTCCAGATTACTATCCCTTTGAGGAAAAGCAGTAACTCCTTTTCCTCTTTCTGCTAGGCCCCTCCCCTCACTCCCTGCTGACTCCAGCGTAAGAAAAGCAGAATCATGCAAAGAGTGAAATGATTTCAACTTTATTGACTTTCCATCTCAGATATCCAGTATTTAGTGATAACTGGCTTTTATAAGAACACCCTTGACTGTCATCATTGCCCTTAAATGGATACATGAGTACAATAAAAAAATCTCTGATAATTTTAGCTAAATTTGACATTAAAATTTGATTTGCTATTTCTCTTGTAGATGTTCCATCGTGGGCCTTACATTTGTTAGTACCCAGGACTCCTGCAATGAAAATTTCTGACTTTCCAGTATTCTGTTCAGCTTAGAAAGCTGTTGAGTTCTCAGCTAGGAGAAGGCTCTCCCAGGGAGTTTTGGAGACTAGGAGAAACATTTTGTGCTGTCCCCGTTGCTGGGGGACAGTGCCTGATGACCAGTGGCTGAGAGCAGTTGTTCTGGGAGTCCCATGTCACAAACAGCCTCTTCATGGCGGACCCCCGCTGAAAAGCGCTGAGGTAGTAAAGTATTTCCATTTGATAGCTACACCAAAAAAAAGAGAAAAGCTACAGAAATTTGACTCTTTGGGTCTAATATTGGAAAAAAGCCTGGAGTAATGCTGATAAGCTAGATATAAGAAAGAAGCAAGGCAGAAAATTGTCAGTTCTTTTTGTAATGAAATTTTTGTATTTGGAAACAATGTTAGCTTCACAGGAAGTTGCACAGACAGCCCAGGGAAGTCTCGTGTACACTTCCTCCAGGTTCCCTAGTGGTACGGCTGGTGTAACTGTGATATCAAAGTGTCATATCAAAGGCAGGAAACAGAAGACGTGCCAGGTGTGTGTATGGCTCTGTGTGGCCTGTAGTCACACGTGCAGATCATGTAGTCGCCACTGCAATCAGGAAGCAGCCCTTCCGCCAGACAGATCTTCCTCAAACTCCTCTGCCCCCACGTGGCTAGTCTGTGCTTCTGTTATTTGGGGAAGGGTACATGAGGAAGTCACAGAGTCTGAGACTTTGCAACTAGCCGTTTCTTCAGGTCACATCCTAATACCCCAGACCCAATGCAGGCTGTGTATGCCATTAGCATATTCACTTGTTCGGTAAGTGACATTTCCTGGTATGGACATTTTCCAGTTTGCTTAGCCACTCATCTGTTGTAGGATATTTTGGTTATTTCCAATTTGGGGGTAAAAAGTGGCTATGATCAATTGTGAACAGACTTTTGCATGGACATAAGTTTTTATTTCTTTGGGATAAATACTTAGAAGTACAAGTGCTGGGTAGCATGTTGAGTGCACGTTTAGTTTTTTTAAAAGAAACTGCCAGATTGCTTTCCCGCGTGGCTGGACCATTTTACATTTCCAACAGCAGTGTAAGGGAGACCTAGTTTCTCTGCATCCACGTCTGCATTTGGTTCCGTCACTACTTTTTATTTTAGCTGATCTAATAGGTGTGTAATGATAGCTCATTCTGCTCTGAATTCACACATCCCTATGGCAGGTGATGTCCATCAGCTTTTTGTGTGCTTACATGTCATGGACAGATTGTCTGTGTGAATTGTTTCTTCATATTTTTTCATTTTCTAATTACACTGTTTGCTTGTTGAGTTTTGAATTTTTTTAAATGTATTTTGGATATCAGTCCCTTGACAGATAAGTGCTTTGCAGATATTTTATCTGGTTTGTACTTGTCTTTTCATCATCTAAGTAGAATCTTTCGTAGAGGAAGTTTATGACTTTGATTTTATCAGGGTTTTTTATATCTTTTGTTTTATGGATAGCACTTTTGCTATCGTTTGTCGGAACTCTTCGCCAAGCTCTAGGTTCTAGAGATATTCTGTGTTTCCTTCTAAAGTTTTATAGCTTTACATGTTTCATTTCAATCTGTGGCCATTTTGAGTTAATTTTTATTTAAGATGTGCAATTTAAATCCTTTTTTTGGCCTATAGATATCCAATTATTCCAGCACCATTTGTTGAAAAATCTATTTTATTCCATTGACCTGCTTTTCCATGATTGTGAAGAATCATTTGGCCAGGCTTGTTGGCTGTCTTTTTATTCTGTTCCATTGATCTAAGTGTGTGTCTCTCCCTAAACACCACACAACCTAGATTGCTGTTGCTGTGTTACAAGTCTTGCAATCTGGAATTCTGATTCTTCCCATTTCATTGTTCTTTTTCACAATTGTTTATTCTATCTTTTTCCTTTCCGTATAAATTTTATTTAGTGTTCTTTGGGGTTTTTCATTTTCGTTTTTGTGGTACAGGGGATCAGAACCAGAGCCTCATGCATGCTAAGCAAATGCTCTATCCCTGAGCTACACCCCTAGCCAGGAATAAATTTTAAAATAATCTTGTCAGTGTCCACAGAAATCTTGCTGGGATTATTATAGGATTTGCATTAAGCCTGTATACCAATCTGAGGAGATTGACTTGCCACGTGGAGCATTTTAGTCTGTGATCACAGTGTGTCTCTGTATCTGAGGAAATCTTTTGTTATTTTTAGCTGTATCATACAGTTTTCAGCCCACAAATCCTACTTGTTTTTTTAGATTGACCTCTGTATATTTTTATGTATATCTAAAAGTAAACGTTTATATTTATGTATTTTTAGTAATTGTAAATGGCATTGTAATTTTAATTGCAGTGTCATGTGTTCCTTGCAAGTGTATAAAAAATACTAGCTGGGTGTGGGGACACACGCCTGTAATCCCAGCACTTGCGTGGCTGAGGTAGCAGGATTGCTAAGAGTTTAAGGCCAGCCTGGGCTACAGAGTGAGTTCAAGGGCAATCTGAACTATATAGTGACACCCTGTCTCGAAAAAAAAAGTAGAGTTCTATATGTTGATCTTATATCGTGACCTTGCTAAATTTGATTTTTAGTTCTAGATTTTTGTAGTTTCCTTAGGATTTTCTGTGTGGACCCTCATGTCTTCTACAAATAAGGGAACTTTATTTCTCTCTTTCTGCTCTATGTGCCTTTTATTTCACTGCCTGACTTCTCACATTGTGGAGACATTCCCGCACTGTGTGGGATCGCAGTGGTGGGAGTGGGTCCTTATCGCACTCCTGACCTGTGGGAAGTCTGCAGTCTTCTCTGTGTAGGATAGAGATGCTTTTTCTGAAGTTTAGCAGATCCTACTCTTTCTCATTTTCTGAGGATTTTGTTTTTGTCATGGTAGATATTTAATTTGTCAAATACTCTTCTGCATCAATTTATAGAATAATAAGACATTTCTTATCCTATTGATATGGTTCTTGCAATTATACCATTTGATCGTGGTATAAATTGTTGTATATATTGTTACATTCAATTGATTGATATTTTGTTAAAGACTTTCGCTTCCATAACCCTGAGGAATAGCACTATCTTCATCTGGATTTGGTATCTTTTCTGGATTCTTATGAGTATATGTTTAGGTGTCATTTATGCTTATAGAGGTCTCCCTCAAAGATGAAAAAGGTAAATAACTTTACAATAAAATATTAGACTTAGTCTAAAACCTTGCTTTCTGTAAATAAGACTGCTTTTTATTTTTTTCTTTAAATTTTGGCTGATATATAGTGATTGTACATATTTATAGGGTACAGTGTGATATTTTAATCCTAGTATATGTTATATCATGATCACATTAGAGTAGCTATCCAAGTCCTCAAATATTTTTCATTCCTTTATGAAGGGAACATTCAGAATCTTCTCTTCTAGCTATTTTGCAGTACACAGGACCTTCTTGTTGATGATAGTCACCCTACTGTGCAATAGAACACCAGAGCTTACTTTCCCTTTTTAATTAAAATGGTAAGCTGATTGCGTAAAGTCTTCCCATCCCCCTCACCTTCCTTTGCCCAGTTTCAAGTGACCATTGTTTTATTCAGTGCCTCTATGAGATCAACTTTTCAATTCTATGCATGTGTGTGATCATGCAATATCTATCTTTCCGTGTTTGCCTTATTTCACTTAACAATGTCCTCTAGGTTCATTCATGTTGTTGCAAATGACAGAATTTCATTCTTTTTTATGGCTAAACATTACCCTACGGGGATTATGGACATTTTCTTCATCACTTCATTTATTGTTGGATACACCTAGGCGGGGTCCATGCATTGGTATTGTGACCAATACCAATGCATGTGGTGTAATAAGCATATGGGTACACATAGCTCTTCAACATACTGATGTCCTTTCCTTTGGCCATGTACCCAGCAGTGGGATAGCTGGGTCGTATGTTAGCTATGCTTTTAGTATTTGAGGATCGTCATACTGTTTTCTAGAATTGCTGTACAAACTCACATTCCCACCAATAGCACTGAAGTGTTCCCTTTCCTTCACATCTTTGCTAAGACTTCACTACTTCTTGGTAAACATTTGAATTTGAGGTATATATTTAAAATATATTTTCTATTAGAAATCATCAGAATTCTACGAAGAGTTAATTAGTTTTAGGTAACTCACATTGACAGTGCATAAATTATATCAGTGTATTTTAAATAGAGGAACACTGTGTACCAAGTATTCTAGTAAAATCTTAGTGAGCGCAGCCTATTTAGGAAAAGGGTGTCCTAAGATCTGTTCTTTTAATGCAGGCAAGTTTTATTTCAGAATTTTTAATGTTAGCAGGTAAAAATTTAAGCTTTAGATTATATCATGATTATGTGTTATTGAAATGATCTAAAAGCATCTGAAGTGATTAGTTTTGAGCACTCATAGAGTTCCTTGACAGTCGGCAATATACATAACTTGGCATCGGTGCCACTGGTCTTCCCATAACTGCAGGGAACAAAATGTACTTTTCACATATCTTAATGAATGTTTCTGGACGCACGTTTTAGCAAAGGAAAAGTTTCTTTGTTTTAACTTTATTCTAATTTTACAGGATCCAAGCCAAAACTCGAGAATTTAGGGAGCGACAAGCTCGGGAGCGTGACTATGCTGAAATCCAAGATTTTCATCGGACATTTGGCTGTGAGGAGGAGCTGATGTATGGGGGAATGTCATCCTATGAGGGGTCCCTGGCTCTCAACACCCGGCCGCAGAGTCCCCGGGAAGGGCACATGATGGATGCATTGTATGCGCAAGTGAAGAAGCCTCGGAATTCCAAAGCTTCACCTGTAGACAGGTAGGCTCAGGAGGAGTCATGACATTGCTTCTGAATCCTCTTTTCCATAGCTTTTGACAGCAGAGGACTGTAGATTATTCATCAAGCCTCAAGCCCGAACCACCTCTTATTAATGGCCTTTAAAACGCTGTTGTGTCTAAAAGTATTGAATTTACACAAATCGAAGCCTAATGGAAAGAGCAGCAAGCGGCTTTGATAGCTTTCCTAATGATTCCAGCATATCTCATCCTGATCTTCAAGTGGCTGTAGACCTCAGAACTCAAATACAAAGCACACTGGAAATTATGGCTCTTCCGCTGAAGCAGTATTTGCTTTCATTGGTAGGAGAGCTTCTAGTAATTAAATAGATGGAAAATGACATGATTTGTTTCAATTCTGATTTAGAAAGGGCCCCTTTTTGGGGGTGGCATATTTACATGATGAAAAAATTAGTAAATGAGAAATATAGTACAGCAGTCTTCTAATGACTTACTAGCAGCCACAGGACATAGCTGTGAATTATGTTGTCGGTATAGCACACAGGAGTGCAATGTTGACTATATGTTAATGAGTTTGTTATTTAAAATTTTAAAAGTTTGTTTAAAATTTAACTGACCCAGGCTGGATGTGGTGGCACATGCCTGTAATCCCAGCACTTGGGAGGCTGAGGCAGGAGGATTGCTATAACTTTGAAGCCAGTCCTGGCTACATTATGAGTCCAAGGCCAGCCTAAACTATGTAGAGAAACCATGTCTCAAAAAAAAAAAAAAAAAAATTAACTGACTCTATGGCATTATATATATTAACTATGTACTTATTAATGACTATATATTATTGGAGGTATATTGATTTCGAATTGCTACATAAGTATTTCACATTTTAACATACATTTTTTTGAGAGAGAGAGAAGTTCTTGCTGTGTAGTTTAGGGTGGGCTTGAATTTACCATGTAGCTTAGGCTGGTCTTGAATCCATGGCAATCCTCCTGCCTCAGCCTCCCCAGTGCTGGTATTAAAGGCATGTGCTATCATGCCCAACTTAGAAACAATTTCAAACAAATCTTTTCCCACCCTTCCTGTGTATATTCAAGCACCATATGGAATTTAGCTCATGAAGTAAATAATACTCATTGCTTTTTATATCAAACACATGCATGGTATTGTCATGAGTAATATACTAATTTTGTTATCATCATGCCTCTCTATAGGATTTGGGCTTTGTGTATTATAAGTGGTTTCATTAAAACCAGTGGTTCTCAGGCTTTACTACATCAGGATTGTGTGAAGAGCTTCTTAAAACACTGATTGATTAATCATCCCCTAGAGCTTTGATTTAGTAGGTCGGGATGAGAGTCCAGTAATTTACATTTCTTGTAAGTTCCCAGGTTTGATATTGGCTCTGCAGGTCCGGATCTTTAAGAACCCTTGCGAGGCAAGAAATTTCCTGGGATTATTTTCTCTGTGACATAAATGTCTTAATTGCTACAGTTTTATATGTAGCCTATACTATAGTTCCTCACTTCCAGCTATTTTTAATAGAGGTTTGCTAATGCAGCAGGTAACTCTCAGGTAAACTTAGAAGGAAGCATTTTTTTTTTTGGTCTTTTTGGTCTTTTTGAGGCAGGGTCTTGTTATGCAGTTCAGGCTGGCCTTGAGCTCACTTTGTAGCTTAGACTGGCCTCGAACTCTCAACGATCCTCCTGTCTCAGCCTCCCAAGTGCTGGGATCACAGGTGTATATCACCACGCTGGGCTTGAGGAAGCATTTTTATTTTTTTTATTTTTATTTTTTTTTGGTTTTTCTCCGGTACCGGGAACCGAACTCACGACCCTGCGCTTGCCAGGCAGGCGCTTTTGCCGCTGAGCTAAATCCCCAGCCCCGAGGAAGCATTTTTAAATATAGCAAATGGAGGGATAAAAACCCAGCAGATGAGGAAGTGGATCTTAAGGTGATACTCTGGTCAAGATGTTATTCTATTTCCTTTTCATGTTGTTGTGCTATAGATTTTATTCATTATCTTTGAAAATCTATTTGATCTTGACTATAACAGGGGAATAAGTTAATACTGGAGGCTTATGGTTTATTTAAATCCTTTGGTGGAATCCCTGGACGGTTCATGTGCTTATTAACAACACAGATAGGTTAGGACTCAAAGAATGAAGTTATAACCCATGACAGTGACATTTTCTTTAAAAGCTTTTTGCTTGGTTTCTGCTGTATTTGTGGAAGCTGCTTGTACAAGGTCGGACTGCCTTTGAAGGCCATGAATGTCCCCTTGAAAGTGTTTTCTTGGGAGAAAGGACATCAGAAATGTTGACATTACCAGTCAGAAACTTGGAGGAACTTAAATTAGTTGACATATTATTGTTCTTTGATCAAAGTACTCATCATCTCACATACTGCATGTCTAGCTCACAAATCTAAAAATCATGGCTGCGCCTGTAGCAGTTACTCACCTAGCTCAGAAGTTTTATCTGACCAGAGTTAGCCAGAAGGGATCGCTCAGCTCCTGATAACCAGAAATGATTACTTTAAACTCAGTGCCCTATGAGAGTCTAAATCTCACCAAAGACTCTGTAGATTTTCAAAAGTGTTTCTATGCTCAGAACTCTCTCTGCTCTGAGCCAGAGCATTCCTGACTCAGCATCCTGCAGAGTTTCTTCTCTGAACCGAGGTCACCCCACACTAAAACAGCCTCATGACTCTTTCCGTCAAGTGTTCACTCAGCAGAACACCCAAAGGAGAGTCAGTTATGGGGTGTCACACCAAGCAGTAAATAACTCAGAACCATACCTCACATACCACTCTATTCAAAAGCCCCCCTCAGCCTTACCCAGAGAGGTATAATTTTTTTAAAAAAGGATTACAAAAATGTAAATTTAGCTTAATTACTATTTTTATAGAGAATAAGATATACATTAAACAGTAAATGATGATACTAATTAAAAACTTGGGAATTACTGCACCTGTATATTACTTCTTTACCTACCTAACATTGATTTTGAATTTGGCTTGGAAAAAAAATGGCATCACCTCTGTTGTCTCTTCCTGTCTGTGAGGAAGCTGTAGAAAAGTGTTTCACAGACTTGAGTAGTATAGGAATTCTTTTTTGAAAGGAGGGAAAATCTCTTGATACTGCAGTAGCTGTTTAAATTGTTTTGATTACAACATTACTTAAATATGTGTAAAAATAAAATAGGACTAAACTCCTTCTGTTTATAACCATTGTACAACTATAAAACCAAACATCTTCACAAAATTAAAGACAAAATGGCAAAGCCATTACAGTCAAATGAACTGCGTTAATTTAATGTGGCCAATAATACTTTTTTAAGAGTCTGAACTCTTGCACAAATCCAAATATGGTGGTGGCTGCTACATGGCAGGTTTATGTAAGTGTGTTTGTCTACCTCCACGAGCTAAATGCTGACTCCATTTGCCTGTCAGTTTTCTCCAAATTTCTGGAGTGTTGTTGAGCGTTCATGTGTGACAGTCTCTGGCCTGCCCATCACATAACTGCATCATTTATGCATGAGGCCCAGCTCGCTGCTATTATCATTAAGTAGCATTTCTTGGTGCCTTCATGTGTGTAGACTTAAATTGGGACAGTGAAATAACATGCCTGTAAGAAAGTCTGAAATATATTTACATTAACTTAAAAAAAAATCATTCCAATGAAAATACAAAACTTGAAACTCCCCAGAGATTATTTCTTGCATGAACAATATACAAGCTCCTTTGAACTGACTAAATGTCACCAAAATTTGCAGTTGGTGTCTGATAAACTTTACTATTCAAATTTTTGTATTTCACAGGAGCGTAGGCAAGGTAGGGAGCTGAAAATCTAACATGTAGCCTGCATCTCTTCTTGGATTTTCTCTATTCGATAGGAAAGCTATGCAGAATTTCACTGCTTCATCATTTTGATGGATCTTATAGTCAAAGATGTGGGTTTTGTGGCTCTGCATAGAAGCAACCAAGAGTAATTTATTAAATGCTGTGAATTTAGTGTCAAAATGGGGATCCTTTTTCAATCTGCACGTATTACTTATAAACTGCTTTGTGTAGGGTATTATTATACTATGTCCAGAAATGCTTCATGCCTGTTTAATTTTCCTGACACACGAACTGTTGTCTGGTTATGTGCTTCAGTCATAGTCCATTGTGATTACTATTTATTGGGGTCCTCGGTAATGTTTTAACATTTTGCATTGGGTGGATGCCCAAGAGAAGCGAACCTCATCCTGTGTTTCATATGAATAATGAGGCTTCAACTCACAAAGATGTTATTTTTGTTTTGCTTGTAAGCAGCGACCTCAAGGGTTTCACCTTCGTAATGGGTTCATAGTCTTGTATTTCTTTGGCATTTCGCCTTTGGTTGCGGCAGCTCAACTGCCTGAGTACTTGGAGTCTGTCGTGGCACTGTTCCCAGGCCTCCCCGCACTGTGGATGCACTGCTACCGCCTCACCCATGCTCTTCCTTCATGAATCCCAGTTTTGTTCGGGCTGACCCTTGCGCCGCTCCGGGCTTCAGCTCCCCAGGCTCCCTCGTGCTGAGCCGTGAGCCCGTGGCACAGTTCTGGCTAACAGAAGTCAGGAGCTGCTGTACGGTTAGGATTTTCTGCACAGCTAGTGTTTCCTGATTAAAATGGGCTCAGCTGGAGGTGCAGCTCCACGGTAGACCACCTGTCTTTTCAAGCTGAAGGCTGAAGGTTTCATCCCCAGCACTGCAAAATAAAATAAGATCAAATAAAACAAAATGGGCTGATTCGGTTTTTTGCCCACGGACATTTTCCCCCTCTCTCCTGCATGTTGGGTGTGTTTACCTAAGGGGCTGAAGGCAGAGGCCGTTGGGAGGAAGCGGGCAGCTGCTGCCCCCTCAGCAGGTACTGTTCCAGGGCTGGTGCCCAGGCTGGACTCCCTGCTGCCTCTGAAAGGTGAGCTGCTCCTTGTTTAAGTTGCCTGCACTGAGGTTTCTGTTTCGTGAGGCCCAGTGGCGTTCAGAATATAATGAGGCGCACA